TTAAAAATATTTTTAAAAAAAACTACAAAAAAGAATTCGATAAAGTGCAAATTAAAATATAGTTGTATCTGCAACTGTATTTGATAATGTTTTGAACTTTTAAAATATCGCATGGTAAAAACAGAAGCTGCTCTTCATATTAGTGACAAACTTTGGTGTTTTTTGAAGAGTTACTTTCATTTTTGCTTCTACTTTTAATTTAAAATAGGTTTCCATTCTTGGCAGGTTTCTAAGGTTCTTCTTCTACATATTGAAAAAGTTGTTAAACATCTGAGTGGTGCACTACTGCTACTAGTGGTGAGAAAGTGTATTGCACCTTATTCAAAATCAATGCGGTCCCCCGGCCCTCTGCGGCCCAAAGTTAGAACTGTTGTTCTTTTGAGGCACTCAAGGTGGCGCTCAGGGCCGCGGCCCATGGATTAAGAATCTCTGATCTAAAGCTCAAAGAAGTAATCTGATTTTTCATAGGGCTGTCCATCATGAAAAGTGAATCACAGCTGACAACTATTTTTCTCGTCATCCTCCTTTCAGTGTCGTTTGAGGATAAGTTCAAAGCCAACATGGAGCAAGGCAACGCCGAGCTGGAGAAAAGACGACAGGCTCTGCTGGAGGCGGAGAGGAGGGAGCAGGAGCGGCGCGCTCAGAAGGAAAAGGAGGAGCAAGAGAGGAGGGAGAGGGAGGCCCGAGAGGCCGAGGAGAGGAGGAGGAAGGAGGAGGAGCAGAGGTTGGAGCGACAGAGGGAGCTGGAGAGGCAGCAGGAGGAGGAGAGACAGAGAGAGATTGAGAGAAGAGAGGTAGAGCCGTGGGTTTAGTTCTGAGTTTTTAATATCACACCTGCAGGTTTTTACCCCCGCAACAACCTCCTCTGTGTCTGTCCCATCGTTCCAGGCTGCACAGCGGGAGCTCGAGCGACAGAGGCAGGAGGAACTGGAGAGGAGGAGGAAGGAGGAGGAGCAGAGGCTGGAGCGACAGAGGGAGCTGGAGAGGCAGAAGGAGGAGGAGAGACAGAGAGAGATAGAGAGAAGAGAGGTAGAGCTGTGGGTTTGGTTCTCATGCAGGGTTCCCACGGATCTTTAAAAAGTCTTTCAATGAATGAATGAACTCATCAATCCAAAAATAAGGCCTTAATTGGCCTGAAAATGTCTTAAATTACTCTTTCAGAGGGCTTAAATATGCTATGCTGTAAGTAAAATTATTGTAATTTATCTCAAATATAAAAAGAATTGGTAAGATTTATTTTATTTTTTTAATAATATACCGAATCCCCCTCGCAGCTAGTTGTTTTGTATTAAAATTAATATTTTATGTAAAATTGATGCATTACACTTGTGTTTATTGTGAAGTTGGTCCTAAATGGCACTAAAAAGGTCTTAAATTTAACTTTCCTTAAGCCGTAGGAATCCTGTCCTACACACGCTGCATGTTTATATCATACAGACAGGTTTTTACCCTAACGTCCTCCTCTGTGTCCGTCTAATCGCTCCAGGCTGTACAGCGGGAGCTCGAGCGTCAGAGGAAGGAGGAGTTTGAGAGGAGGAAGCGAGGTGAGCTGCAGGTAAAAAGGGAGCTGGAGCGAGACGAGATCATTAAGCTAAAGGCAAAGAAGAGAAGTCTGGAGATGGAGCTGGAAGCAGTGGTAAGTCTCGAACAGATTCACTGTTTTTTTTTATGCCAGTTTTTACAGAAAACCTACATTTTATATTTAACCTGATGCATGCAGAAACTACGTTTAAATGACACTTTGCTGTTCTGGTTTGATTTGTTTTTGTTCAGGGTAACAAGCAGCGTCAGATTTCTGATCGATTGCGCGACATTCAGAACAAGAAGAAGATTCAGGAGACGGAGCTGGATCTGAACATCCAGAGGAAAGGGACACGCCAGCAGGATATTTACACCCTGCACAAACAGATAGAGGTCTGTGTGTTTGGGCTTTTCCTGGTTGAGATTTATTTTTTGCAAAGTTCTTTGTCATCCATGATTAAAACAGTGTAATTTATTAAATTTCCCGTAATGATGCATTTGTCTTGTTTGTATTTCCCTGATGAGCAGGAATTTCAGACAAAGTTGTCCCAGCTGACTCCAGAGAAGAAGAAACTAACGGAGAAACTCCAGAGCATGTCTCTAAATAACCTGCCAAGTGAGTCCTGAGGGATTCATTCCATTCAATCAAAAAGTAGAATTTAACTAACAAAGATAAAAATGTGAACTTATTAAATTAGCCATTATAAAAAAGAGAACATACTGTAATTCAAAATATTTAATTGTTCTGTAAAAAAATTAAGAATAAAACTGCAGTTGTCATCGTGTTTCCAATAATCAAGCATATTTGTTTTCTTGCCAGCGTCGGCCATGTCCGCCCTGAAGGGGAATGTTTTGGAGAAGAAGGGAACATGCATGAAACTGCGAGAGCAGCTGGAAGCTCTGGAGAGAGAGACTTCTGCCAAACTGGCGGAGATGGACCGCTATAACAAAGACATGCAGGTACAAACAGACTGCATCAGTTATCATAAAAGCTTAACGTGTTGTCAGACATTACAATAACTTTTATCATTCAAAAATATGTTTATCGTGTCCTTTAAACTGTCCTAATCAAGTCTCAAACCAAAACAACTTGCCTTTTTAGTTTTCTTTTTTGTCTCCAGAGGCTTTTGAAATGTGCTGCTGGACTGTGCAGCATCATCTATAGGAATTATTTGTCCATGTCAGTTTATTTATATAGCAAATACAAAACAGATTTGACCAAAGTGCCTGACAATTCAGTCAAATGAGTAGATATAACAACAGCAACGCAAAAATGTTCAAAAATAAGTCAAATTAATATAAAATACAGAAACAACTTATGCCCCTTTTCCGCTAGTGCCACTCAGTATAGTGTCGGTACGGTTCGGTATGGTTCCAAACCATTTCCATTAGGCCAGATCGATGGAACCAGCACTTTTTTAGTACCTACTTCATTGTGGTTCCAACCGGCCCCAGCTGACACCAAAATGCGACGTCAGAGCACTGTTCGTCACTGATTGGCTAAATTTTTGCAAATTTTTAAAATTTCGAAAGTTATTCATCAAATGTGTTTCCATCTCTCATTTTGCCCATTAACTTTTTTTTCAAAAAACCCAAAAACCACCTCCACCAACCGCCCAAACACACCCATTGGAACCGGACTGGAACATCAGTGGAAAACCAACCGTCCGACCCGTACCTACACTGACCGTTCCGACACTACACCATGGAAAAGGTTTAATAGAAGCATCAGCTCTAGATGAACCTCTGCCAGAATCAAAAGCCAAGGAGTAAAGATGTGTCTTAATCATAGATTTAAAAGTCTCAATGGTCCAAATACGAAAAGGTCAACCATCGGGTCACCTCTGAGTTTTAGTTTGTATCTAGGAATCTCTGAGGGAAACTGGCTGATTGATCATTTTACTGGAGTGCAGATGTTCAGCAGTTCACACGGGTATGACGGGGACAGACCTCTTCAAACTTTAAATCTTAAAATTCTAATCCTAAAAGAAAAAGGAAGCCAGAACCGAAGTCATGTGTTCATGTTTTTATTACCTGTTAAAAGACGCACCGCTGCATCCTTGTAGGACCAACATAAAACATCACAATAATCCAACCGAGTGGTAATAAGAGCGCGGATCATCTTAGCAATATTTTTGACGTTGGTCCCATTTCTCAATCTTTTGAAAACATTTAAAGTGAACAGTTCGGCTACAATCATTTCTTTCTTTGTAGGGAGGCCTGCTCATAACATTTCACTAAACTCAATTACAATTTAAACCGTGTTTACCTATAATTAAAACAATAACTTTTCTGCAGATGCCTTAAAACCTGAGTACAAATACTTTACGCTCACGAGTGCTTCCTGGCTTTTGAGGACTTACCGTATTTATTCAAGTATAATACATAAAATTTAATCCATAAAATCATCCATAAAGTTGTGGGGTAGTGTTATACTCAGATAAATATTTTTACTTATGTATTTTAACAGAAATATTGGGAAAAATTATTGAGTCCGGAAACGAGACCGCGTCGTAAAAAGCAGTTGAAGCGAGCTCACCTGTGACACTCCTCTGTGCTTCAGAGCGAGATAATAACAGATCCAAGCAGGTGAAATGATGTGGAAAAAAGGGGCGAAAGTAGTCCTGCACCTTAGTAATGATAACAAACTAATGACATTAGCGTGTGACCGGGCCGCTGCTGGAACAACAACAAACACTTGTTCGTCTGTAATGGCTGCCGTCTACC